CAGCACCAGTACAGGGTGGGGGATGAAGGGCTGAGAGCAGCCCTGCTGAGAAGGACTTGGGGGTGCTGGTGGATGAAAAACTGGACATGAGCCGACAATGTGTGCTCACAGCCCAGAAGGCCAACTGTATCTTGGGCTGCATCAAAAGCAGCATCGTCAGCAGGTCGAGGGAGGAGGTTCTGCCCCTCTGCTCCGCTCTGGTGAGACCTCACCTGGAGTCCTGTGTCCAGCTCTGGAGCCCTCAGCACAGGAAAGACATGGACCTGTTGGAGCAGGTCCAGAGGAGGCCACAAACAAGATCTGAGGGCTGGAACACCTCTCCTATGAGGAAAGGCTCAGAGAGTTGGGGCTGTTCAGCTTGGAGAGGAGAATGCTCTGGGGACACTTGGGGGCACCTTATTGCAGCCATTCAGTACTTCAAGGGAGTGTATAAAAATGATGCAGAGCAATTTTTTACCAGGGCCTGTAGTGACAGGACAAGGGGCAACCATTTTAAACTGAAAGATCGTAGATATAGATTGAATGTAAGAAAAAAATTCTTTACTATATGAGTGGTGAGACACTGGAACAGGTTGCCCAGAGAAGTCATGCATGCCCCATCATTTGAAGTGTTCAAGGTCAGGCTGGACGAGGCTTTGAGCAATCTCAGCTCTAGTGAAAGATGTCCATGTCCATGGCAAAAGGTTTGGACTAGATGATCTCTGAAGGGCCTCTCCAACCCAAACTGTTCTATGATCTTGTTTATTCTGTTTGTCTCTCTTTTTCTTTGTACAGGGTTGCCTTCATAGAGTCACAGCATGGCTGGGGTTGGAGGCAGTATGGAGATTATTTAGGCCAACCACCTGCTCAAGCACGGTCAGTCAGAGTAGTTCGTTCAGGGTCGTGTCCAGTTGGGTTTTGAATATCTCCAAGGTCAGAGACTTCACAATCCTCCCTGGACAACCTGTTTCAGTCTCACAGTGGAAAAGTTTTTTGCTTAGGTTTAAATGTAATCTCTTGTGTTTCAGTTTGTGCTTATTGCTTCTTGTCTGTTCACCTGGACACCCTCCCATTAATTACTTAAATGCATGGATAAGACACCCCACCCACACCAATGCATTCTCCAGCATGAACGCTCCCAGCTCTCTCAGCCTCTCCTTGTATGAGAGATGCTCCACTTCCATCATCATCTTCTTGGGCCCTCCCTGCATTCACTCCAGTACATCCATGTCTGTCTTGTACTGAAGAGCCCAGGACTAGGCACAGCTATCCTGATGAGGTCTCAGCAAGGCTAACTAGAGGGAAATAATAATTTGTGTCAGCCTGCTGGCAGTGCTGTTAGTAATGCAGCCTAGGTTGCTGTAGGCCATCTTTGCTGTAAGGGCATGTTGCTGGCTTATGGTCAACTTGGTGTCCACCAGGACCCCAGGGTGTCATTTCCAGACAGTCAGACCCTTGCCTGGGTTATTCCAGTGCAGGTGCAGGGCTTGGCATTTCACCGTATTAAACTTCATGAGGTTCCTGGTGGCCCATTTCTCCAGCCTTTCAAGGTCCCTCTGAGTAGCACCGCACACATCTGGTCTGTCAAACACTCCTCCCAGTCTTGTGTCCTCTGCAGACATGCTAAGCATGTACTCTGCCCCCTCATCTAGGTCATCAATGAAGAGGCTAAACAATATCAACTTGCAAGAGCACTCCACTGGTGACTGGCCTACAGCTGGACTTCATAATTTCAGCGCAGCAGTACAGCCAGATTTTAGTCCACCTCTCTCTCCACTTACCTAGTCTGCACTTCAGCCATTTGTCTATGAAGCTTTTAAGGGAGACAGTATCAAAAGGCTTACTAACGTAAATAAAAACAACATCCACTGCTCTTCCATTATCCACCCAGCCAGTTGTCTCATCATAAAAAGCTACCATGTTGGTTAAGCATGATTTCCCTTGATAGCTCTGTGCTGACTACTCTCACTCTTTAACACGGTTAAAAGTAGTTTCCGGGATTCGTTGCTCAATCTCCTTCCCAGAGATCGAGGTCAGGCTGATCAGCCTGCAGTTCCTCATATCCTGCTTCCCACCCTTCCTGAAGGTGTGGGTGATAGCTGCTTTCTTCCAGTGCTCAGGAACCTCCCACAAACCACCACGCCCTTTCCAAGATAATCGAGAGTGGTCTTGCAACAACATCAGCCAGCTCCCTCAGAGCCCGTGGGTGCATTGCAACAGACCCACGGACTTGTTCATGTCCAGGTTGTTTAAACGTTCCCTAGCCTAATCCTCCCCCTCTGAGGGTAAGTCTTGCCTGCCCTGCACTTTCCCACTGGTCTCAGGAGCTGTAGGATTGCTGATGGCTAGTCTCACCAGTTATAAAGACAAAGGCAAAGAAGGCAATCAGTGCCTCAGCCTTCCCCACATCCGTTAAGACGGGTCCCCATTCCCATTCATCAGCAGACCCACATCTTCCTTAGTCATCCTTTTGCCGATGACGTGCCTGTAGAAATCTTTCTTGTTGCCCTTCAGGTCCCTTGCCACGTTCAGCACCATGTGGGCTTGAGCTTTCCAGAGCCCATCCCGGCATGTTTGCACAGTGTCTCTATACTTCTTCCACCTCAGCCCGTTCTGCTTCTGCCTCTTATGCACATGCTTTTACTGGTAGAGTTAAGTCAGGAGCTCCTTGATCATCCCTGTTTGCCTCCTGCAACCTCGCTTTTAAAGTAGTCACTTCAGTAAGAGAGAAACTTTGTCACAGAGTGGACAGCACCTGACGGAGTCATAGCATCCTTGTGGAAGGTGAACCTGAAATCCTTGACTGTATGCTCTGTTCTTAAGGTCTTCACATAAAAGAGGTTTTTTCTCCTGTGCAGTTTATCATGGTTCTGTAAATGCAGAAGAAGAGCAAAGGTTTATACTGAATTACTGCCCAAATACTATGTCAGGAGTGATTGTTCGTGGAGTGATCCCATTCATTTTTCTTCTCCTGTAAGGGAACGTGCTGCTGATGATGAAGTTGCCCACTGATCAACATAGCCACTTTTGTCCCAGGAGAGACTAAGATGAGTTTGGAGTAGGATGGAAGGCTGTGCTGATGATTACTTTTCTGTGCAATTAGATCTTTGTGTTACACACATTGTGCCATGCCCAGTGGAATCGTTAATGAAGAAAGGCTTTAGTAAGTGGACAAGTCTAAAGTATAGCTCTCTTACCTCAAAATAATGATTAATAAAGGTAATGAGAATGAAGGTAGCAGGATTTTTCCTTGAGGGTTAGTCTTGTTTGAAAAAGGCTGCTTTCAAACATTGTATTGGATGAACCTTTAGTTCTGCACAGTGTCTGCCTTTGATTGAAGTGACAGAATATACACTGAAACAGGAAAAAGTGGATTAGACATGACATACCTGAGTTTCAGGTGGCTCTAGAAGGCTAGCAGAGCATCGCTGATGTGTCCTTGCAAAGCAGTTACTCGCTGCAGTCTTTCCTCACAATTTGTCACTGCAGCATGGAGATACCCAATGATACACTTCTCTGCCTGGAATTCTGGCTTGCTTTTTTCAGCCACCAGTGAGGGATGGATTGGGTTTTTGTTCCTCCAGTTCCAGACCTCCTTTTCAATCCTTCTGTGACAAATGGTAGTTTGCTAATGTGGTTCTTCAAACCTAAGTGCCAATATTATTTGAGAGCAAAAGTCTTTCAGTGCTTTCTACTGTACTACAAAGTATTTCCAAGTTGTGAGAGAAAGATGGATGTAGACTCCAGCATATGATCTGTCTCTCCTTTACAATGTGTATTGGCAGACTGCATGATTAGCCAGTTGTGTGAACATTACAGCTGGTGTATGTGGCTTTCAGTTAACATTTCTAACATTTCAAGTCTGCAAGCGATAGCTTCTAGTGATTTTATTACTACATGATGAATGCAGGTGTACAGATTAACAAATGAGATCAGAGTCTAACATTGTGCTATACAAAGAGTGAACTTTGTTAACAGTTCAGTCAAACACTGCAATAAAAAGGTTAAATTCTGTCTGTGAAGAACAGTCATGTCTGTTATAAAGCACAGGCATTCTGGGGAGTACCAGAAAGAACCTGCAAAACTGAACAGCTCGTCAAGTCCCTGCATACAGATGTGATCTGGAGAGGACACAAGGTCTGTCTTGCTGGAATCTCCTTTTTGGTCTCGACTGATTAACTTGATTCCTTTCCATAGGCGGTAAGGATACACATAATGGACTGATAGCATTCATTTTTTCTTAAAATGTCTCAAAAAACGGCCCATTCTATGAGAATTTGGTTACACTTTGCTATTGCTCTTAAAGTAGTCGCTTAAATAAGAGAGAATCTTTGTCATACAGTGGACTGTACCAGACTAAGTCATAACTCATCTTTGTGAAAGATGAACCTGAAATCCTTAACTCTTCACCCTTGCAGAGCCATCTGTGCAACAACCTGTGCTCCACGGTGTGAGCATGGGTTGATCTGATGAAGCATTTTTGAAATGAATCATAGCAGAAGGTTATAGTTCTTCATTTGAAGTACCTTCTTTCTCCTAGTTTTTCTGTTGTTCCTATATTTTCTCCTGTTGTCTGTCGTGTTGACCAGGTACTTCAGGGTATTTCTTTGGAAGGATGCTCTCAGAACTGGCAGTGCTTTGGGAGCTGTTAGGAAGGTGATGGCGCTCTGTCTTGGTTTTCAGGTGGTTGAACTGGTCAATAATAAATGCAGTCTTGAATGATGAGGATGAAGAAGCAATAATATAAGCAGTATAGTTATATATAAGCAGTTATATCAAAAATCAGGATAAAACTATGATTACTTGAAGTACTTCGCACACTTTCCTCCACGAATGTACCCCTGTTTTAAATGAACAGTAACAAAACAAAAATGAAAAGATTCAGCTTCAAAGCTTGTGATGAAGAAACAGTTCAGTGGGTTAAAAGCAGGTTTTTAATAGCTCTGTTATATGCTTCCTATTCAGATAGCTTTATGATTTGAGGGGTATGTCATTGAAATACAATAATTGTTTTCATTCAGGTAAACAAACATTAAAGATATTTGATGGGAATGATGCAGTGAAACGCAATCAATTTCGACTGATTTCAGTTCCAAGGATTGCAAAAAATGAAGAAGTTGTGGTAAGATACCTGGTGAAGGTCAATATTCCAGTGTGATAAAGGGGCACATGATTGTATATTACAGTAGTCAAAAGCTGGCAGTTTTACAGATGTAACTCAACAAGAACAAAATCTGTAAATGGGCTGTAATAGTGCAATATAATTTGACTTCTTCATGTATTGGTTTTACTTTAGAGCACCTGAAGAGTTGTGGCCATAATGGGGATCAGGGCATATCACATGTTAAGCAGTTGTTCTCCTTCCCTGTGTGACACTGAAGTCTGATTTTACTGATGTGAGCAATACTGGATAACTGGCTCCTTAGATCTTGCTTCTCTCCTATAGTATTTAGTGGTTTGATGTTTATCGTGGACGGCCACTGCTATTGCACTTCAGCCAGTCGGCTTTGAAGACTGAAGCATGCCATAGTTATCTCCACTCCTTGGCTGTGAAAGTAATGACTTATCAGTCACATAGCAGCCACTCTCTAGCTTTGCCAGTGCTACGTCTGGGGTGGAAACATGACTCAGTACTAAATAAAATGTTCTGTAGAGAACTTAATTTACTGGGCTGGGCAGAGACCCACATACTGTACAGAAATGAAGCCCAGAGAAGGTATGGGGTGACGCATAGTAGAATTAAGCATGGTGAGGACTCAAAGTCATAAAAGACTTGACACAGGAGTCTGGAGAATTTATTACATCAGAATTTTGAGAATTTAAACCTACAGCTCATTAAGATTTTTGTCTTGGTACTGCGCTCAAAATCAACAGCAGTTTTGAAAATTGTTTGTAGTGTTCTGCATGTCAAAGATCTTCAAGGAAAATTGTGTACAGTGATGAAAACACTTATTTAGGAGTACTACTTGCCGTTCAAGTACGTTTTGTCAGGCTGCTGCATATAATACCAATGCAGATTATTAGCAGTTCTCATAAGTGACTTACTGGGCTGTATTTACTGCAGCGTCTGTGTTAGCAGAGGTGCTGCAGGCATGGGCCAGTAGCGTATGTAAAATTCCTGTGACTGCTTGCATCTTCCGAGGACAGCCCTTGCCTTTCCTCTTCACAGGTATGTGGGTTCAGGGCAGCCTTGTGGCCGAGAAGCTCACTAATTTTCAGCATCCTCTTAGTGCAAGAAGATTGAAAATGCAGAGTGGGCCACAATGAAGTGGAATTTACCATTTTCCTTGTGGAGTAAATTTTGCGTACAGTGAGCGTAGCTTTATTGGTGCTAAATTTTTACATTTGATCTATGGAGTTAAAATCACTATCACGTGACAAAAATACTGTGGGCTGTCTTGAAATCCATTGATATCTCAAGTTTTCTTTTTGTATCTTCCACTAAAATTTGTTTTCAGAGCTTCACTCTTGTTTTGGTTTTTGCTGTTGCTATTTACCTACTGTTCTGCACTTACAACATGCATGAAAAATTGGTTCCATAAAGAAGGTATTTGTAAATGTCTATGGCTATACAGGCATTAATGGTGTCTTTTCAAGAAAGTGTTAATTTATCTTGCTGTGTTGTAGGAGGCTGACCTTTACACAGCAGGCACTGTTGTCCGATGATGTTATCAACAGGAACGATGCTGCAGAGGACAGCAACTTGGGCGCGGTATTCCGAGAATCTGTTCCTGAAGCTTGGATCATCAGAGCCAGACCAAAGGACAAGGAAGTGATCAGAATTTATCCTGCCTGGCTGAAGTGAGTGTTTTCCTCCTTTATCACACGGCTATCCTGCTTGGCTACATTTGTCCTCTGTAGTCTAGCCCTGTGTGTTCCAGCTATGGAAGTCGCACAAGTATAACAGAGAACGTAGTTTCTTCTTTTGTATTTCCACATTCTTCTGGGTTTTTTTTCTGAATTAGTAACATTTATATTATCCATTTCCATGTCTGGAAATATGCTCGTGGGTTTCTTTACATATGGAACATGCTGTGCAACTTGTGCAGTTCTATTATCGTGCGTTTGGCCAAGAAGATGCAACTTTACATTAATGACATCTATAAACAAATGACTACGTACATGTGTCACTTGAAAGCTTGATGGGCTTTTTTAAGGAATATTAAGTAGGAAGAATTCAGTGTAGCTTCTGATGTGAGAATAGGAGGAAAAAATAAAGAAAAAAAAATTTGTTCTGTTTACCACTGAGACAATATACATTTTAGGCATATATAGCAGTGGAAACAAGACTGGCTGGTGACCTGCTCATTTCTTAAGAGCGATGGGATAAAATTTAAACATTTATTCATTTTACTAATGCAGCTACACGGCCAGATGTCCTGGAAGACTTGCAGGTAATTCTGCGTATAGGAAGAAACTAACTTGCAGTGCTACAATTGTAATGACCAGTTCCTTGAGAGGAAAGTCTTTGCTTGTCTGTGGGGCTAACACTGCATCTGCCATGAGCCTCAGTGAACAACTTCTTCAACTATCACAAATTTCTGCCTACCCCTGTAGAAAATATGCCACTTAGGTAATAAAGATACACACAGGATATGTCAAATGATTGTCCTAAAATAAGTATTTCGTTTCTCTTTAGAGTGGGAATGGCATATGTTTCTCTACGCGTAAATAAGGATAGCACTGCGCAGACTGTGATCAAAGAAGTGCTTCCGTTACTTGGAAGGCAGGTAAACAAAAGATGATAAGCATGTCTGTATACCACCTGAGTGACCCTGAAATGGAGTGTGTATGTTTTTCTCGTTAGAAAAATTCTTAATTGGTCCATTGGCAGTTAATGTGAATGTTGTTAATGTTTGGTAGATGATCTCTTGTGACCGGTGCGATGCTCAAAACTTTCTGCAGTTTTGGTGGTAGACCTGGTCGCTCTTTACTGGAAGTCACCATCAGTCTTACTGGGTCAAGCAGATTTACTTGTATGAACACAATGATTCTTGGTATACACTATGTTATTTTCTGGTTGTTTATGTCTTGAGATATGTAAGATACACTGGTATGTAACTACACTGCTAATCTTACTTTGTTGGGAAACTGGCAATCACTGTTGGAATGATCATGTTTGTCTCCTACTTCTTTGTGCTGCTCTGCGAAGGAAATCATAGAATCATTGACTGTCTCAAGTTGGAATGGTCCCATAAGGGTCACTGAGTCCAACTCCGTGTTCCTCACAGGACTACCTAAAACTAAACCATATGACTAAGAGCTAAACATCCATACACTCCTTGGACTCCGACAGGATTGGTGCCATAACCACTTTCCTGGGGAGCCTGTTCCATGACTGACCACCCTTTCAGTGAAGAACCTTTTCCTAATGTCCAGTCTGAACTTTCTGTGACGCAGCTTCATTCCATCCCCTCGTGTCTTATTGCTGGTCACCAGAGAGAGGAGATCCGCTCCTCCTCCACTGCTCCACTTGAGGAAGAGTAGACCACAATGAGGGCACCCTTCAGCCTTCTCTTCTCCAAGCTGAACAAGTCAAGTGATCTAAGCTGCTCCTCGTAAGTCTTGCCCTTGAGGCCCTTGACCATCTTGGTCAGCCTCTGGACACACTCTGATAGTTTCGAGTCCTTCTTACATTGAGGCATCGAAAACTGCACACAGCACTAGAGATGGGGCCACACCAGTGCCGTGTAGAGTGGGACAATCACTTCCCTCAACTGGCTAGCTATGCTGTACTTGGTGCACACCAGGACATGGCTGGCTCTTTTGGCTGCCAGGGCACACTATTCAACTTGCCATCAACCCAACTCCCCAGATCTCTTTCCGCGGGGCTGCTTTCCAGCCTCTTGTGCTCCAATTTGTACATATAACCAAAGGGAGTCCACAGCTCTTCCTAGTTTAGTATAGTCAGCAAACTTGCTTAATGTGCATTCGATTCCTGTGTCCAGATCATTTACAAAAACATTACTGATCACTGACACTAAAATTGAGCCCTGAGGAACCCCACTGGTGACTGGCAGTCAGCCTTATATAACCCCATTTAGCATAACCCTTTGAGCCCAACCTCTCAGGCAGCTGCTCACTCAGCGTGTTATGGACTTGTCTAGCCATGTGCTGGGCAGGTTATCCAGAAGGACACTGTGAGAGACAGTATCTAAAGCTTTGCTAAAATCCAAACTCACCACATACATTGGCATCCCTCGTCCAGCTAGATGGGTGACCTTGTCATAAAAGGAAATTAAGTTGTTTAAGCAGGACTTTCCCCATGTGAACCCCATGCTGCCAATGGCCAATGACTGTGTTGTCTCTCAAGTGTTTTTCAGTAATTCCCAGAATAACCTTCACCATAATTTCACCAGGCACTGAAGTGAGACTGACAGGCCTGTAATTACCAGGGCCTTCCTTCTTACCCTTCTTGAAAAGTGGGACACCAGTTGCCTGGGACCTCTGCGGACTCCCAAGACCATTGAAAAATAATGGAGAGAGGCCCTGCAGTGACAGTGGCCAGGTCTTTCAGTAGCCTGCAATGAATCCCATCAGGCCCCATAGATTTATGCGCATCCAGCTGGAGCAGCAGACCTCGAACAAGTTCAGGGTTGGCTGGCAGTTTATCGCTCCCCCAGTCACGGTCTTCCAACACAGAGTTCTAGGGGTCCCAGGGCCCATCATCGGTGTTGAAGACAAAGGCGAAGAAGGCATTAAACGTCTCTGCTTCGTCTACACCCCTATTTGTGAAGTGACCAACTTCATCAATTAAGGGACCAGTGTTATCTCTGATCGTTCTTTTGGTGTTAATATTTTTTTAATAAGCCCTTTTTGTTGTCCTTCACAGTGCTGTAATCGAGCTTTGGCCACATGAATTTTCTCCCTACAGTGGCGAACAGCATTTCTGTAGTCCTCAAGGGCTACAAGGAAGGACTCAATGCTGCATGACCCATGTTCTTTACTATCTGCATTCCTTCTACTCATTGGAAATTGTTAGATACGTCTTGTAATCGTGTAGACGCGCATGTTTTCCTTGGAAGATGATCTTTTATCACTCTGCCTGTCTTTCTTACAGTTGGTGCCAAGATAGCATGACTGTTAGGAAACATGTTAGTAGAATTTGCAAGTGTGCCAAGGCGCTGGCAGTGTCAGTCCGACACACAGGTGTGGATGCATGAAGCTATAGCATGAGCATTTCATTCAGCAGCTGGGGCTTGTGAGCACAACAGCAGATCAGCACGCTTCTGCTGCCCCAGGGAACAGCCATGCTCACAGAGGGCGACCACCGCCTTTTACAGTTGTTTACAGGCTACATAGGAACATGCATGTGGCTAGCGATGGTGGTAGGTGATAATTGTCGGTGTCTGTCCAGGTGTATGCAGCTACGCAGTGCATGCGGCTCATGTTGTGCCGTTGGATGGTTCTAGTATTTGATTTCAGTCCTTTTCCTCATGTGCTGTGGACCCTGTAACAAAACTTGAAAAACCTTGTCTGAAGTCTTGTCTCATCTAAAAAAAGCAACTGTCAAAGGGGATAGGCGAGTACCCTGTTTGGGAAAGATCTTCACATCTCTGTGTTTAGGAAGCTAGTTTTATGTTGTCAGAGACTTAATTCCTTGGCCTAATTGCAATTTTTTTTATATTGATAGTTTTTTAAAGGGTTTTCTCCTTTTTCAGTGTGTAGGTGCACATACAAGATATCTCTTTTTAGTACCCAGAACTGCCTGTGCTGACAATCCTCTCCAAGTAGCCCTCATCAAATTTCAGGCAAAGCAAATGTAGGCATTTGAGGCTTTTAAAACCCCTGTTCATAACATGTGAAACAACATAATTTGTCCTCTGAGTCTCAAGGCCAAAAATTAAGAGACTTCCTCAATCCTGAGTGTCACATGTTTCCAGGGTTGCAATAGTCCTAGTAAATGGTTCAACTCTTGGCTGTGCCAGCTGTTCTTGTCCAGCTGTGAGGGACTCGGGTGGTCCCTGGCAGTGTAGTTTGGAGAAGGGACTGTGGCACATGTGAAGAGGGTTTCGTTCCATCAATGCTGGTGGAGTGCCCCTGGAGATGGGGTCTGGTTGACCTGCTGGTTCCTGGGCCATCTTCTCAAAGAGCAGATTCATTCCCAGTCCTGCACACTTTCTCTGGAAGGACGCTCTGGAAATATCCTAGCTGAGCTGCTGGTCACTGAAGGCGAACAGAGTTAACCATGCTTTACAGGTGCCCCTTCACCATGGGGCTGTGAGGAGGCCGATGTAGTTAGGGGCACAGGAGCCTGATGCCATGTGTGGGAGGCGGAGTGTGTAAAATGAAGATTATTCCTGGCTCAAGAGGAGTGGGTTAGGGGAAGAACATCGTGGTTGGTTTTCAAATGTTTAATTTTCCATGCTCTGTGTGTGCTGTCTCTAACATAACTTTAATGTAAACATCTGGCAAAATTATGTTTCATTCAAAAACTACATTTACATGTTGCATCTTTTGGCAGACGGAGAGCCTCCAGAATTTCAAATTGGTGGAAGTGCTCATGGGCAGTAAGCAAGGTAAGTGAAGGAGCATTGGCCAAAGGCACATCTGTAACTGATCTTCTAGCCTCTTTTTTTTTTCACTTTTAACACAGTCACAGTTAATTTTTTACAGTGAATGTCTTCACAAATGAAACTTCACTATCATGTTGAAATACTTAATCAGAAGTGATGTTGTTTCTTTTTGGTCTGTGTGTCCTGTGGGAACACGGTTCCCTTCTCCCTCTTTCATCATCACAAAAAGGTTTAACAGTGGTTTCTGGTGGGTGTTGGCACTTTGGCAGAGAGCCCTGTTTTGGGATCTGCCTTTAACTGACATAATTGACTTAACCGCAGTTATTTAGTAAAGATTAATTTTAAAGTTCGGTTGGATCCCTTCCTTCTGTCCTCTTTCCTCTGACACTGCCCCCAGAGCAAATTCAAGTCCTGAGATAGTCCGAGGAGTATGTGTGTGCGTTATGACACGCAGTCCTAGCACTGCTCAGGAGGTTGGTGATCCTGCAGGAGCTGAGCTAGTGTTCTCCAAGTTCACCTCCCTTTGTGCTTCATTATTTATGAGGCTGCATGGAGAGATAAATAAAGCCACTGAAGTAGTCAGGTGATGCCCTGGCCACACCTGAGTAAATATCTTTGTAGTTCAAATACTGGCCTTATATTTGACTTGCTTTGTGAGCATTATCAGTAAGTTGATTTATTAGGTTATTGTAGCCTTGTGACTGTCTTACCTTCGTTGATTTCTGGTGCTGGTCTAAAGCATCATTTACAACCTCGCTTCAGCTGGAAGTTGTTACAGTTGTTTTAATATTTTAATAAAATATGGAAGTTGGTTATTACTGTAGTTGTCAGGGAATGTAGTTTTAAAGGCTTCTGTCAAACAGTTAGCTTATTATCAAAGTACCACTTGTCTTTTTAGTGGCTTTAAGCTGTTTCTGCCTTTTTTTAAAGGAGGGTAGTGTTTAAGAACTGTGAACAAAATCAGACTGCTCAAAGCACCTATGTGGTTTTTCTGTTGAATAATGAGTAGTTCAGGTCTGCGTGGTCCTTTATGTTAATGTTAGTTGCACATAGAGTTGTGAATTTTCCCTAAAACGTTTTGTGTTGTTTTTGTTTAATTAAGCCAAATAATTACTTACAGTGCTTTAAAACATGTTTAATGTTCTTGCTGTCTCTAGTTCAGCGCATGGTCTTGGACAATCAGGAACTGATTCTTAACAGACTGAAGGACATAAGAAAGGTAAATCTGAAAAAGAAGCATGATCGTTTTTTATAGCAAGTAGGGAGTCCCCTTTCTTACAGAAAAATTAAGTAATCAGTTACACCTCCAGCTGGCTCATCTGTAGAGACACTAAGTGCTTGAATTGAAGTTTGTTTCTGTTCGTGATGTTCTCTAGGCATAGAGGACTTGATTGCTAAGTTCAGAACTATTTGGGATTTTGTTTCACGTGTCTTTTTGCCAAATGTCTCGTCATGTATTTTTCTCTATTTTGGTAGACTTCAATACGTCAGATGAATCAAACAAGATTTTACATTGTAGAAAACAGTAAATCTATTGTAAGAGTAAATTTATTTGTCGGTGGCCTCCCACCTCAGCTTTCCCCTGAAGAATACACAAACATTCTCAAGGATGAATTAGCTGTCAAAAGTAAGTGAACAGGTGCATTCTCAAATATATTCGCTTGTGCAGATTAAAAAGTAGTAGTATCTATTGCTCGTTTTATTTTTTTTTCTTAATGTTTTCTGCCCTTATGTGAAAAATCAGTCTGCCTTGTGTTTTCACAGGGGGCTTTTTTAATGGTTGCATAAGAGATGGAACAGCTGATTATTCACAGAATTATTATTTCATTACATAAGTTATATGTGACCACAACATTTTTTTTTTGTTTTAGTGAAAAAGCATCACTTTTTAGAAGTGAGCTCTACGTACCTTACACCATTGAAATTATGGCAGTGCAGTTTAATTCACTGTGCATGAGTATTCCTCCCCTTGTATTAACCGCTGACATTTTTTGTATGGGCTGTCCTCCATGTTGTTCATGAGCTCTGTGCCTGGTCACAGAGAATTATGAGCAGTGTGTGCACACACACATATGGACAAGCACTCAGTGAAAAGAATTTATTTTTCTTTTTCAAGGAAGTGTAATCGATTTTTCATAATACTCTTTCAACCAACGTGTTCTATAAACAGCATCAGGAATGTGTCATGCTTTTTGATTCAGGAAACGAAGCATTTTTCCCAGTCATTTATGTAACTTCAAGAGGAATTAAACTTTATATGCCAGAAGGAATTCATAGTCACCTTTTATGAAAATCAGTTTAGCTTTTCTAACTTGCAAAGTAAACTTAAGAGAGGGAAAGTGTTAGCTGAAGATTCTCCCTATATTTGTATAACTTTTAATATTTATTTATATTGTGTTTATGTAACTTTAAAAAATATTTTAAATATTTACTCTAAATGTACCCAAGGTTTTATGTGTTTATATTTTTACCCTTTGCAGCGAATGTAGTATCTGTGAGTCATGTTTATCAAGCACAAGGTAAGCATTAACATTTTTAGTCTTGCAAACAATGTCTATTTTCAAAACTACAGCCTGACACTAGAGGGTCTAAGCTCAGAATGTGTTAGTTTTACTGCATAAGCAAAAATCCCTTCAGATAAAATGTAACACGTTGTATATGTGAAGAACAGTGGATTAGTGTTACCTTATTAAAAAAAGTGAAAAGGTTGGCTTTGTGCCTCATGTGCCAGAAAGTGGTAATATTTCGTCATAAAAATGAGTTTTGAAGTTGCACTTCAGCTGAATAGTCTAACACTACTGAACTGTTAAGAACCCTTGAAGTTGTCTCTCTTTGACTTCTAAAATACTAAAATTTGATATTGCGTTTGGACTTGATGGGATTGTTTCACAGTCACTGTTTCCTAGCACAGAGTGAAGTGGGGATTTAGTGGCTGGAAGTCTGAGTAAGATCAGTATGCTCATCTCTGCATTCATCCTTTGAGCTGTTGCTTTGCTTTTGCTGTATGAATTTTGTTTCAGCAAGGTCAGAGAAGCTGTGAGGCTACTGAGGGACGGAGGAGCAGTGGCTCTACGCAGCTTTGGTGCAGTGGTCAGGTGGAAGTTTGTGTTTGATGAAGCTTATAAATGTGGAGTTTATCTTTTGTATGTTTAGATGTTCATATCCAAGATGTTTTGCGTCCTTTGGCAGGCTTAACTTTCACATGACTGCTAAATGAAATCTTTCTGTAGTGTGGGTTTGAAGACTGATGTGTGCTTCCTTTGTGTATTTGCTGTATACACATGGCTGGCTAATACTGACTTTTCATCAGGAAAACGTTAAATCTTTCAGAAGTGCCGCCTCTTTGTCATATTTGTCAGTGGACGATAGTTGCTCTTGTGATACTCTTCTTATGTCACAGCTTCATTTAACCAAGTTTACCTGCGTGTGTTTTTAGATGTTTCTGCTTGTATGCGATTTTATTTTTCTTTGTGTTTTTTCACTTCATGAGTATTTTTATGTTTCCGCTAAGTTTCTGACTCTCCCTTTTGGTCGCAGCCAGGTTGTGTGACCAGCTTCCATCTCATATGCTGTCTGCTATACCCTTTGATCTTGTCCTGCCCCGTTTTCCTCCTCACGAAGTACCTTACTTTAAACTAACCTGTCAGTATTTTATTTGCTTTTATTTTTCCCTTTTGTCTTCCTTTCTTCCTCAACTTCCCCATACAGGACCTAAGCAGATAGAAAGATCTTAAATTGATTCTCAGACCAAATCTTTTCTTGTAATAAGTCTTACTGAGCTATTGTCAATGAATGGAACTACTGGATTTTTAATAATGAGATACAAAATGAAGCCTAATACCTTTATGACTTTTACATGATGAGAACAGCGTGTTAGTCATGATAAAGAGTATGGAGATAGGCCATACTTCTGAAGCCCAGAGGAAGTCTTTAAATGTGCATCAGTTCTGTGCTGCAGTTCTTATCCTCAATCTGCTTTGCTTTAGCAAAAATCTGCGTTGTGTTTGGGGGTATGAAGGAAGGCTTAAAATGCACAACAGCCCAATTCACTGATAACCAACAACACAAGCATTGCAGAGTAACTTTTACTGAATAATGTCCTGAGAAAACTGAGTAAACTTTTGCTGTGATATGATGATACTGATTTCCTAATAATAATATAAAATGTAAAAAACAGTGCTGATGCCTCTTTACAGGTGCTATTGTACTCGAAATTTCATGCTTTTCTGAAGCTGAAAGAATATATATGCTAGTTAAAGATACAACTGTCAATGACAAGCCTCTGAATGCCGTGGTGATTCCTGAAGTTATGGTAAGAGATGGGTTTGAATTTAAAATATGTCTTTAAATGAAAAACAATGACCTTAAAACTTTTTCTGCTGGAAGTAAATGAAAATACGTTTTATGCAAAGGAGCCCTGTGGTGAGTTTCTGTAAGTAGTGTGATGAAAATAAATACTTGAGGGCCCGTAGTTCATGTATGTGATACACTTCTGTGAGTTGTCACTTGTCCTGTGGCTGTTTAGTTGTCAGGAATAACTGTACAACTATATAACTACAGAGCTATACAATTATAAAGCGGAGCAAAATAAATGTGGTTTTTTTCCTCTTTATTTTTTTCAATGATCAAGAAGTTAGGCGGGGTTTTAGTTTTAGCTGGCCTGTCTTAAAATGGTTACGTCAGCTTTTGTTTAGGGGACTGTGTGTTTCCTCACTAACCATGAGGTAAAGTACTACTGCTGATCTTCACATTTACGGTATCTTCATTTCCCCTATTCTGTAGCAGAGATTGAATTTGTTTAAATTATTTTGAATTGTTTAAATGCTGCATTGTGGATTTCAGAGGAAAACAGTCTTCTGGACAACTTGGTGCAAGGGTCCTTTCACAAATTCAGTCTTGATTCTGATTTATTAATTACTATGGCTACAAATAACTTTCCTATGAATCAGTTGGTTTAATAATAGGTTTTACGTTAACAAAGCAGATTCAAAGTGAAAAGAGGGAAATGGTTCACTGAGCAAAGTGATTTTTAATGAGGATGATGTAGGTTCTGTCCAAAAGAGACTGTAGCCATAGTTACTTTCTGCTGAGCTTTTGTGTATCTTACAGTTACTGTCTTTCTGGAGTTGCATTATGGCAAGTGAAGTGAGAAGGGTCTTGGTTCGACTTCCTAGAACTTCACAGAAGGTTGAAGACTTGAAAAAAGACATGATTAGTGGGAACTATGAAACAACTTTAGATGGGAGGGTCTCAAGTTCGGTAGTCATAGTTGCATACTTCTGTGGCTGCTTTTAGCGTTTAAAGAGTCCTATGTTTGTCAAGGTTTTCTGAACTACTTTGTTATATGAGCAGATACTAGTGGCAGTGCTTACGTGAAACTGGCAAGATTAAAAACTAACCCTCCAAAAAAAGTGAGTGCATAGGCATTATGTTTTGGGAGACTCTTAGAAATCAAAGTCTCCCCTCATCCAAACTAGGTGTCAGAGTTTCTGTTATCAGAAACAGAAGCCAGCAAGAAGATGGGACTGCTTTTGGAAGCTGGTTTTCAGTGGTTTTCAGGAAAATGCATTGTGAGCCTAGATTTGGTGCACGGTATGTGAAGTAGAATGTACTCCGCTGTTGATCATGTGTGTCTGGTTTTCTGACAGTAGACAAGTTTGAAGTGAACTTCTGGATGCCAGGAGAATACGGATAATGCTGTCTGTTATCTGATGCAAGATATTTTTTAGAAAATCCAGTTCAAGAGCCTGCTAGGGATGAATTTCTAATGTGTTAAAAGGAGAGGGGGGGCTGTACATGTGCACACACATTTTTTTGTTTCAGCGTGGTTGTTTATATCTGCTCATCTCACTGAAATGAGCTGAGAGTTAATTTAAATAATATTTCAAGTGTTGCTCATATGTGCTTTGGCCACCCAGCTTATGCCATTCACTAATTACCCAGAGTAAGCTGAGTGATTATTGACCTTACATTGGGTGGCAGTTGGACTAGATGACCTTTTGAGGTACTTTCCAACCTAGATTATCCTTTTATCTTGTGATACTGTTATCCTTTGTTTATACTTTATATATGTGACTATTTAAATACAGCTCCAGGAAATACTTATACAGGAACTGAGCACAATATTAAATTTATACTGTATTTGACATTCCTCTCGTTGATGAAATACAACAAAATTGGGAATGAAGGTCTAATATGTAGTCTCAGAAGAGGAATGGGTGATAAAACAAAGGCCACAGTGCTTTGGTTAATGAGTGATTTTTCCAGTTTGCAACTTACATAAAAATCCAAACAAAACAACCCTTTTTAAAATCCATTAAAATCACAGAAGTAAATTGGTGGTTAGCATCTCATCTGTGTTTTGCTAGTCCTGCATTTTCCCAAGGTCAAATTCGCGTACTCTGTGTTTGATGCAACTTCTAAGGAGGGGGCCCAGTTCTACTCTGGCATGGTCAGGTCTGCCAGAAGCAATTCATCCTCGTGCTATCATTACTGAAAAGTCTGAACGCAGAATCAGTTTCCACTAACTGCTTATTAGAAAGTCAAGCAGTTAGCGTGATCAGATGTGTTGATCTGTTCTGCTGTTTCATGATCTCAGACCTTTAAGAATTTAATCAGGCACTTTTTCATTTCACAATATTCAAATAAATTAAAATGCTTTCTTTGCTAGAGTGTGAAAAGAATACAGTCTCTTACAAAGCTGCTCTGCTGCTGTGTGTGAGGACCTGCAGGGGCAGTTGGTATGATGCTTTGGTAGCGTGTCAGAGTGACAGACATTGCAGGGCTGAGTCTTTCGATTGAAAGCTAGTTTACCAAAACTCCTTTTTCTGTACTGGCAAACAAGGAAGTGAACAGAGAGTTGTATGAGGCCAATATCAGCATAAAGGTGACAAGTTTTTGTGGCTTTGGCACTAATGCCACTTGCAAATGGAGTGCCCTCTGACCTACTGTATTTAGGTTCCTTAAGAGTAGTAGAAAAAGATATGAGAGTTTCCCAAATGGGTGAAACGTTCTGTTTCATTCATTCCACTAATTCCTCACACAGATGTGTCCAACTTAAAAGCGGGAGTTTAATGACCCTCTTATAGCCAAAACACCGTGAGGAGTTGCTTTCCACCCTTCTTCCACTGCTGCCCTTCCCCAGAAAGTAAAGAAAAGGCTCTAGCTCCTGCTGTGTTGACCCAGCTGCTACTCCAGTTGCATTGACACACCTTGCACATCATTCCTCATCAGGTGCAATCATTCCTTTCTGGCCAGCGTGGAGGAGGTTTGTGCTTGGGTCGTTCTGAGTCCTTGCACACGGGAGATGCTGCAGACAGCCTGCTTGCAAATGTTGAATTTTACTTCTTGCTTAGAGATTTCCGCGGTTACCGGAGACAGCCCACCACCCTGGAAGATGCACTGTGGTTGTCGTGCTGGCAGGCCTGTGGCACAGAACGCCTTGTTCTGCATCGTCGTGAGATGTGATTACACAATGCACTCAACAGATAGGGGATTAGCGTGGATAATAAATAAAGCTGCGTTGCGTTAATCCTGACAAATTAAGCAATCCAGAGTGACTGTCGGAGTGTCTAAATCACACGGCCTCCTTCAGCTGTCTCTAAGAAACGAGCAATAAATTCCTTCCTGAACACCAGCCAACGCAAAACCCTTCTGCAGATTTCACTCCTCAAGCAGAGCACTGAAGGCAGGGCTAAAGGGGGAAGGGAGTCCTCAGGCTGAGAGTCACACAACCCCTCTGCCCAGTAACAAGCTCATTTGTACGTCCCCACTGGGGCTTTATTAAGGGATTAAAAAAAAAATGTGCAGCATAAGAGTACCACCCTTGTGGCCATCTATAATTGTAGCGGAGGGTGTACTTTTCAGAAAGCAACACAGCAGCCCTGATCTGCTGTACAAACTGTTACAGAGTTTTTAACCCCTACTGAAAAGCAATTATTTTCTGAGAAGCTGGCCTTTACCTAGGGGTTTAGCACTGTTCCTTACTCCTGTAATGAAGAGTGATGATGGGAAGAAAGTTAGCTGTAAGGCTAAGCACTTTCTGGAATACTTATGTTTGTTCTGCGTAGGTCCATTTAGTCCTAAATAGGTATAGTTAGCGATTTACATTAGAAGATACTTGAACAAAGATGACTTTGAGTGGTAATTCTCCTCAGTTTATTTTGTTAGCTCCAGGCATTCTCCACATTTGCTTGTGAGTCTTAGTAACATTCAGGGTAAATTTTTCACTTTTTTCTTTTTTTGATGTGATATTGACACTTGACAAGTAGGAAGTTTAGATCGCAGTTTTGTAGAAACTGTAAATACATATTTGCAACAATATGTATTTACGTGGGTAAGATCTCAGAGGACTTTCCAAAACACAGCTGTGCTTTTGAATGCCTTGGAACTTACCACGTCGCAAAAGTCATTGTGATTCCCAAAAGTTCCTTGTGAATTATTTTAGTTACCTGGTTTTAAACCCGGTACATTAGAACTTGCCTGCAAAAGCAAGTAATATAAAACATATGTTCAACATATCACTTCTCAATGTCCAAAACCAGTATTTTTAGAAACTGATTATCTGGAGAAGGTAATCAAATGTTCTTGTCCACATTCAAGTAAGGTATTTTTGAATGTTGGGCTGGTTTCTTTTCTCTTACTCTTTTTTGAAAAAACTTTTGTTTCCTTTGAGTGGCGGAACCGAGTATTTGTTCTTCCTCTTATCCCCTTACTCTTCTTTTTATAAACCCCACAAGTTTCCGGGCCCTGGACCGAGCATGAGGTTTCAGACAGCCAGTATGGTTCAGAAACTTGAAATGACTGTTGGTGAAATTGAGGTAGTAAAAAAGCTTTGAAGAGGAAGAAATGGGAAGTGGTCAGGTGGGAAGGTAGGGCGGAGTAGAAGCTGGAACAAGGGATGCAGGAAGGGAGCAGTTTGCCCCAAGGGACGTGGCGTTTCCTTTCGGAGTTGCTCTGCCATTCATTGATTGTGGGATTTTCAAAGGACCAGTCATAATGGGTCATGGCAGATGATGGCGCAGGAACTGTTGGAGTAACAAGAAGGGCTTTACTTCTGGAAAAGTGAGGGCTCTGCTTACTGTTTTTATTAATGCCTGTGATGGCTTGAGGGGAGGAAATACACTTGTCTCGTTGGGATATGTAGATCCTTGAGTTGTTTACCTTACAACTCAAGAAGTCCTTCCTTTTCATGACAGTGGCATGCATTGTTTTCCTTGGACTTCCTTTGCTGGCTACAAATAGCCTCTCCTGGTGCTGAACAGAACTAAATGCATTACCCTTGTTATACATTGGGCACGCTTTGAATAGTTGTTTACCTTTCCCAGTAAAGCCAGAATATGGAGGTGAGAGGGGTTTTGACCTAGTACAGTGTAGCGTGAAGGTGGCTCCTCTGGAGAAAGCGGTGTGGACAGCTTTGCAGCCTCTTGTCTCACCAACCTAGTTGTTTTGCCAGCAGTGAAACTTTTCCAGTAAAATAAAATTTTGAGGCTCTTCTGGCTTCTTTGTCAGCCAAAGTAGCCCTTCTTTGGCTTGCTTTTTTTTTTTTTTTTTTTTTGTAAAAAATATGTGCCTTTTCAAACTGAGTGTCTCTGGTAGAATCTAAAGGACAAGGAAGGAGAGGGCAAGAGGAGAAGTGTGTGTCGGCTCCAGCAGCCTTCTTCCCTGCTTACCGCTCCCCTTCCCGGTGTGTTTTCTGTTTGTGCCTGCGTGTCGCGCTGGATGGCAGAGGGCGTTTCTCACACAGGTCGTGACAGAGAGGAGAAGGATTTTAATGTGTTTGCGGGTATCTTGACACATCTGGCAGGGTGTGACTTGCAGAGGATTAGCACCCAGCTCTGGTAGGAAAGCCATGGGCTCTGGGAGTGCTGTCGCCTCCCTTCTGTAGCGGTTGGTATCTCTCTGCATGTTTGCATGCTGCAGTCATGCTGCTGCCTCACCACCCCCTGAATCATTCTTGTCTAAATTGACTTATATTTAGCACTGTTGTTCTGTTCCCTGAATCCATCCTGTCAGCTGCGTGACAAATTGCTGTTCCCTGAATGCTGTCCAATTTGTAAATACAAATTACCGCGACTTAGGGACTGTGGCAAACATTTCTGTTTGAAAGCGTGCTTGTTGAAGTGCCAGATGGACTTTTCTGGCATGTACCTGCCCCACACCCCCATGGCAGGCAGATGAACGGTGTGCTGGCGTTTTCTGATCTTGCTAGAACCATTTACAAATTGTTTTACAGAACCAGTTACAGACTGGCTGGCTGAAAGCCAGTCCCGAGGGGGTGCTTGTGGTGACTGGAAGTTTTGACTTCCGCTCAGGCTGCAGGTACCGTTGCCATGCGGTCCGTGGAGTACCGCAGGAAGTCTCTCCTCTGCCGTGTGCAATGGCTTCCCTTGGAGCGGTGTCTGGATGGGTACCAGGCTCCCCTGCAGCACAGCCGTGCTTTGAGAGCCCTTTCAGCAGCAGCTTCAGTAGAGGTGCGGAGGACCGTGAGATACTGGCACCAAATCCTCCTGATTAAAAATTTTAAATATGTTTTTTTAAAAGAAGCTTTCAGCCTCTTATTTCATGGGAAGCCTCTTATTTCAGTGTCTGCCCCGAGCACCCTCGTTTTGAAATGTTTTGTTTTTGTAAATTAACATGTATTCTATGATGACCACAAAACTTAAGACAAATGTTTGAGTTGTTTTTGGAAGAAGTTTTCTCTTTGCAAGGAAAGTGTTTGAATTGTACGTGACTCTGCAGGGTGCCTTATCCCTCACACTATTTTTTGGCATAGACCGTTTGCTGAAAACGTGTAGGAAGGACTACTTGCAGTGCTTTTATTTTTAAAATTAGGCTTACCTGTAATTGGGTTAAAGAAACTTCAGTTACCAGGCAAACAAGATCAGCAGCTAACCTGTCCATTGTCTGGACAATGAATCTGTTTATTTATTGAATCTGGATTTTTTAATTAGGCATCAAGGAAGCATCAGGAAATACTTCTGAGATGCAGCAGTAATTTTCCTGCCTAGTCATGATTTTGGATAATTCTTTTTCTTGTCTTCTTTCAGGCGTCCAAGATACCACAGAACTGCTGCCCACTTCTTGTATTTGTCAATCCAAAAAGTGGTGGTCTAAAAGGTCGGGATCTACTGTACAGTTTTAGAAAGCTGCTAAACCCACATCAGGTCTTTGAACTTACCAATGGTGGCCCACTGCCTGGGTAAGTCATCGTATTTTAAATTCTTTTTTATTTATGTTGCTTTGTTATTTTTTGAAAGAATGGATCAGATCCACTTGTTATGAAGATCTAAATTGCTTCTGTTCTGTGCCTGAAGACCTGAGCAATGGATTACTCCTGACTGATTCTCACTGTGAAAACAGGTGTAAACGTTGAGGTTTGCCAAAGAAAAGCGAATAGAATAGCTCCAGATGTACATGCCTGTATCAAGTCTGATATAGGGTCCAGTCCTGGGAAAGTCGTATGCAGTTTACAGTAACACAGTTTTAATAATGATTAAAAATTAAAAAAAATTTGTAGTCAAATGGGGATGGAAAGAGAAATGTCACATTGCCCGATGAGGGCTCGTTTTTGCTTTTGTTTCCTCTAATGTTTAATGGGAACTTAACAGGGAAGCATAATAAAATTTTTTATCTTGACTCTTGAAACTTGGCCACAACTGCAGAATTAACAGGGCCTGCCTGGTCACAGCTGCAACATTTCTAAATAAAAGGAACAGAACATAATGTGCTTGTAGGGAGGCAGGAACGGATTACTTGATTTAATCAAGACCACTTTGTTGCCAGCTCCATAAAACTGAAAGTGATGGTTGAGCCTTCTCGGAGTAGCCTCATTCCTTCAGCACTGCTTTAACAAAGAACTGTCGTGACAAGCTCTTCAAAGCAAAAGCTTTTGTGGGAGAAACACAGCTTATGCAGGCAGCAAGAAATACAGGCTGTACAAACTAAGTTTTTTGTCAGAACTGTATAATTCTGTTGTTGTTCTAATGCAGTTCAAGCTGCAACTTCGGTAATTCGTTCATTTTGTTTTGCCCATGGAATCCTTCTGTAGCTGTGTGGCAAAATGCTTCCAGTTGTTCATTGCTTCTTGTGCAATGGGAAGTAAAAATTCCTTTGCAGGATATCTTGGTATGTAGGATGAAAAGCCACAAAAGGTAAGAGTGACCAGGAAAATAGTACTATGAAGAAGAAAATGCACGATGAGTCCTAAGACTAAGTGAAAAAAAAAAGAAAAAAACACCACTAATCAGCATCTCCACTAGGATTTAGAGAGTTACAGATGTTCACATTGAAATTGTGAATAGTTAGATCTCTGTGTCTTTGGTGATGAAGGAACTGTTTAACAACTGAACTCTAGCTGTGAAGAATCTTAGAAGAATGTGGTTTTCACTCTTTTTAAACAGCGTTACCTGTAAGTTGCTATTTTTCCATTCATTTTGTTGAAGTTGATCCCGAAAGTGATGGTAAGGGGTGGGGAGAATCCAATAATACTGTGTTTTCTTAAACAGCCTATTAAGAGGCGTTGCTTTTGCTATATTGTGTTGTAACGTTTCTTTTCCCCTTTGCTTCGTTTCTCAATGAAGGTTTCACACGTTCTCTAAAGTCCCCTCCTTCCGAGTGCTGGTGTGCGGAGGGGACGGCACTGTCGGCTGGGTCCTTGGCGCGCTGGAGGAGATCAGGCATAAGCTGGTGTGCTCAGAACCCTCAGTTGCCATCTTACCTTTAGGAACAGGTGAGAATCACAGCGAGCACCATTCTTCTTCTGAGGGCACAAGTCCTCCAGAAGGTTTATCTTTATCCATCTGACAAACAGCTCAGTTTTGCAGTAGAGATGCCATGACTCCATTCTGGACGGGGCTGGAGACCAAATGCAGTACCAGCTTTTCAAGGACATGTCAGTCATGCTTTCTGAAGGAGGAACATGCAGTGGGAGTGTTGGTATGGGTGTGTGTGAGTGAGTAGGAGTTGGAGACGGCTCTCCCCGGACAACCATACGTGCATCAGCCCTTGCGGTAAACCAGTGAATACAGCTGCTCGCTGACTTCTCAACTCTGTGACAGGTTTTTGTATCACTTTTTGTGAAAACTTTTCAGAAGAGACAGCATGTCTGTGTGTGATACTAAGGACACGTGCAACCACAGGAGCATCTAGGTATTTTTGCTACTTGTTAACTTTTGAGTCCAGTCTAACTACTGCCGTGACTTGTTTGGAGCACCTTAATGCGATTTGATTTGTAGAACAGGACTGATGCACTTTTTGACGCTTTTGGCTAACTTACGAAATGCAGTCATATTTTGGGGTGGTTCTTTTTTGCCCAGGTAACGACCTAGGGAGGGTCTTGCGCTGGGGAGCTGGCTACAGTGGGGAGGACCCCTACTCGATTTTGGTTTCTGTGGATGAGGCAGATGACGTTCTTATGGATCGCTGGACTATCCTTTTGGATGCAGAAGAGCCAGCTGAAGGTGCAGAGAATGGCATTGCAGACCCTGAGCCTCCAAAGGTGAGCTGAACACTGTTTGGCTTTGATTCTTAGGAACCGTTGTTCTAGTGAAAATCACAAAGAAAGATGTTAACTTAGTTTAACCTTTTGTTGCTCACCTGTCTTTGAGCTTGGGCCTTAGTGAGCTATTCCTTTGTGAACACAGCATGCATCTAGATATCATCTTACTGCCATTGCGTGTGTGTGTATGTGGCATCATTTATTTTGGCATCTGTTTTATTTTTTTGGAGTGGAAGTCAGTGTCTCTTGGTTCGTGTTACTTGTTTCTGTTTAGGAGAATTATAATGTTGGTTGTACATGGTGACTTCAGAGCTTTGTGTGAGTCCTGTTTCTGTTTATCTTCACACAAAGTAAAGAAATCGGACAAAGGGGTGGCAAAAAGAAAGTAGGATTTTGTAACAGTGGTAGCGATTGTCTGAGGTATTATCCTAGTTATTAGAAAATCCTAGGCATTATGTGTCAGTTGGAGGATTTTAAAGTTACTTAGGTTCCAGGTATTTTTCACTTGGTGGAGACGGGTTGATTTGCCCTGAGTGCCTAATCTGCTGTTTAAACGTGGTAGGTGGGAGAGCCAAGGAGTAGGATAGAAAAGATAGGGAGTGAAGTGGCATGCAAAGGAAGAATTAATTGCAGAAATGGTTTAAATCTGTAGAAAATTGAGATTGGCATATAGGGAGCAATTTAAAATGCAGCTGAGTATGTGAATTCAAGTTCTTCACTTATCTTTTATAAACATAAGGAGGAAATAATACAAATTTTTTTTGTCAGATTGTACAGATGAACAATTACTGTGGTCTTGGCATTGACGCAGAGTTGAGCTTGGACTTTCATCATGCTAGAGAAGAAGAACCAGGGAAATTTAATAGCAGGTAATCCTGGGGAAACCAGGGGTGAAGGGCAAAGTCTGTGGTATTGCATAACTTCGAGCTTACACTATGGCTGATTATCTTAAAATGCTACAGGTATGCACAAACAATATTGCTTAAGGCACAGCAGGCACAGGGATGAAGGAAGTTAGCCAGGAACTGAAAGACACAGAATTCAGGGGTTTTGTTTGTTTTGTTTCCACCCTCGCAAGAAAGAGCACCAAAACAGTTTTTGGAAGCCCTGTCATTATTATTCAGTGTACTTATTGGCCAGTAACTACAACGTTGAGTTCAGTGAAATTTTGAGGTAGTGGAAATACCTCTTATTCAAAGCCTCTAGCAGGAGGGAGGGCAGTGCTGCTATGTGAGCAAGAAACACGCTGTTCAGAACTTTTTTGTGTATTTCCCACCCTTGCATAATGCTGTGGTAGCACCTGCGTGCTGGTAATAAGGATGAAAAAAGATCCCTGTTTCTTCAGTGAGACTGCGATTAAAAAGGTATGGAGAGACACCTTCCTCCTTCCTGGCATGCAGATCAATCAATAATAGTACTTTTTCTTCTTCCCATAATCACTGAAATTGATGAGAAAAAGAGGTCGCAATTCTGTACTTAATCAGTAATTCCTTGTAGAAACTGTTTTTGTCTGCTTTCCCCGATGTTTGTGAGTGAATGTCCTCTAGGTTGTCTCTGGGTTTCCGGAGAGAGTTACATGCAGTTACAGCTATGCAGTGTTCAAATCCTAACTGTTAAAAATATTTTCTGAGTATTGCAGTTGTAAGTGGAGTGATGTGTAGTCCCACCTGTCTTGCAGTGTTCTGTCTATCATTACAGGCATTGCTCATGTTTTTTTCTAAAAAGTGGAATAATGCAGGGTATTGTCCATGGTACGTAAGTTACTATAAGGCACTGGTTTGCATTTTCAAGCCACTGGATTAAAGACATCATAGGTAGTAAATCGGGCAATATGTTTGCGTGTAGCAGTGCCTGTTCTAGTCTGTAAAGCTGTTCTAGATTTACTTGTGCCATTAATATAATCGAAGAGTTACGTTCATTCTTCCTTTAAAATGCACTATTGTGACTTTGCAAAGCTGCAGCACTTTAAAAGATACATCCTTTTCTTATTGCACTGTATTTAAGGGTGATACTTTGACTTTTATTGCCCTGTGTGCTTTTCACTCCTTGAATCTTTATCTCAGTCAGTTCACAGTGTGCAGTGCCTGCAGTGCAGCGGGCGATGGCTCAGTACCATTCCTGCAGACCTTCTACGTGCATATCTGGACACCATGCACGCAGGGTGTCTTGAAGGGCGTGTGGGAAAGGAGAGATGTTTGGGGGGTTTTTTTTGTAAATATGAAGGGCTTTATGTTTATGTGGTTCAAGATCTGGAAAAGAAACATGAAATAATGAATTGGTGCTGAGGTACGGTTTTGCAGGAGACAAACAGCTTGTGCAGGCTAACAGTGCCAATGCATGAATGTTGCCTGTCGCTGCCTGTGATGATGATTGTTAAAATTGCTGGCTTTACCCTTTCCCAGCATATGCAAATACACGCTCTTGCCAGCCAGATTAGCTTTTTCTATTACTGTTTTCAGTAAATTAACTACAAAGGGTGGCTGGTTAATGCCAGATGCAACAGCTGCTGGCATGTGAACTGTCTGCTCTTGCGTGCAGGACGGGAAGTTTCAGGTAGTCGCAACAGAAATGGCAGGTGGTCCTTGGAAGGAAAGCGGGCTTGGGTGCTCTTCTGAAGGGCGCGGGGCCATGAGCTGGTGGAAAAGCTGCGTGCTCTCTGGCCTCATGCTGTGGAGTCTCTTTACTGGGGGGAACACGAGGGTCTCGCTCTGTTCGTCCATGGCTGGCTTCTGAGGAGGGAGGTCCCTGCTCCTTGTCCTGCCTGCAATCCTGATCCAGACTCTGATCACTGCATTCCTGAGTCCAGTCAGTGTTATTAGTAAAGCTGTTTTAATATTCAATTAGTAAGTCTCTCTCCCTTTTCCTCCTTTTTCCCTTTCCATGGTGGGGGGCTGGGGTTGACAGAGAGCATCTGCCACTCTGTTCACTGCTCTGAACAGTGACAGTGTCTGCATAGGATACGTAGGGGGGATGGAG